GTCCCATAGGTACCAAGTCGCACGTACAGGGCGTCCTCCCTACAGGTGCGTCGTTGGAAGAGGCACTAATGGCAAAGCCCGATGTGTGCCCGATTTCGAGCAACTACAACCTCACAATCGAGGGTGAGGAGGTTGTGATTGATGCACAGGGCGGGATAGCAGGCAGATTCGCCTGTCCTGCCGGAAGAGATATCTTCCATTTCTTCCCCGAAATTAGGGATGTGTCGGCGTTTGTCGGACGAAGCTCCAGGGAATCGCAAATGCTGCTAGAAGTTTTGTCGGGCAACACTGACCCTACGCGGTTAAACATGAAGCCCGGTGAGCAGCCTCCCTTCTTGTTTGGGACAGTCCCAGACATTCTGGGAGGTTGGATGTCGATGACTCTGATCTCGACGCTACTTGAGGCCCTATACGGGATCCACAAGTGCACGAGTGTCGAGGTTGCGACCTGGGCGGCTGCTCTCGCAATGGAAAGCCCATCGTACCCTCCAATCGAGCTCCTAATACGGACGGTCTGGAGGACAGATGGCACGAGTGTGCGCCCGAATGAGGTGCTTTTTGCGCGGTCCACCCTAATCGGGAGGGACGTGCCGTTCAAAGTTTTCAAGCGTTGGGCACTGCGTGACCGAACGCCTGTCGGGCCTTTGCTTAGGCCGATGGGAGCAGCAGAAGTCCCTTATACGGGATACGTGCTGCTGACGATGGCCGAATATCGGTCCGCCCTCAAAACGAGGTGCATCCGAAGACCTGGCAAATTCGCCATCACAGTTTTCCCCATGCGACCTGAACAGGTCTGCAGGGGGGAGATCATGATTGGGATGGAGGGCGCAAAGGTGCCTCTTCTCAAGTTGCCCAGCCCCAATAATGAGGGCGAATTTTATGTTGACGACCGCGTCAAATACATGGACAAGCGCCATGTCGTCGTGGCCATTGACCTCAAGTGGATGGCCATCGAGGGAGCTGCCGGCATCTATAAAACCCGACGCGGTTTGATTGCCGTGCGGGAAGAGATACATGCACCCTTCTGGCGAGCATGCTATCTGCACCAGGAAGGGGATGTAATATACATCCGTCCCTGGGCGGTTCGTGAGTTGAATGTTCAGGGACCGCCGAGGGGGGTGTCATTTTCATGGGACAATGCTCCCATGCATGACTACTGGTGCCCTCGGTGTGCCCATTTGAACATGTATGGCACCATTCTATGCAATGGTTGCCATTTGCCGATTTTCTATCGCGAATGGGTGCCAGGCACCGTCCGCGCTCTGGTTAAGCATGGACAGCCAATCTGGCTGAGCGAACTCAAGGCAGTCCGCCCCAGCAGCTGGTATGAAGGGGAGACCGACGCGTGGGCCCCTCTCATGGCATCGGTAAACCCGATTCGCGAGGTGGTCAGCTGCATGATCACCGGTTTGCGATGCGCGCCGCATCTTGTGCACAATCCCAATGCGGATGTTGTGCAAGTTGCATTTCAGGAGGTTGCAAAGGTCACCTCCAAGGACACTCACGCTTGTGTGCGGGCGAGTGATGAGGCTCTCGAGCGGTGGGTAGCGAAGCAGCTGCTCATCGAGGAGAGCAACACTGGCGTCTCGATTCCCGACAATATGTCTGTCATGGCATATTTAATCGATCACCCGCAACAGGCGGCGCAATGGGGTCGTCATATGACGAGAAAGGGCAGTCTAAATTCAGCATTTGCCCTTTACCTCTCCGTGCATATCTTTGATGCCTATCGCATCGGGATTGAGGACGGGTATTTGGTTCCGCTGTATGGCCTAGGCGCCTCACGCGCGGACGTCATAATGTCGTTGGTACAGGCTGAGCGACGCCTCACGGACTTCAATACTGAAGATCCGAGTTTCGACGCTTCCACTGTTCTTGATTGGAATATCGACTCTTTGCGGGCAAGTGGTGGATCCATCACGGCCCCAATTGAGTATGCTGAGGCATACATTTATGTCGAAGACAACAAAGTTGACATGGTCCCCGCTTCGCGGCGCGACGGCCAATGCGCCATTGTTTTTGCTGACCCGCCGGTTGGGAAGCACCACAGGCGGGCAGCCACTCCTAGGGGAGACCAACGGTCTGCTACCCCGCGACCTGAATCCAGGTCGAAGGGTGATCAGCAAAAGGGCAAAGCCCCTGCGCAGTCCTGGCCCAAGGGTGGAGGTCACAAGGGTGACCAATTTCCCGGGAAAGGGTCACAAAGGTGATCAGTACAAAGGCAAGGGTGGCCAATACGGCTACCAACACGGGCAGTTCGGTCGTGGCGGATCCGCCAGATCGAGAACTCCCACTGGCGGGTATCAGCCTGATGCTCGCGGGTCGGGGTACAAGGGTGCTCAGGCAGCTCCTTTCCCTTTCCCGAGTCCGATGTACCCCGCTTTCCCAATGGGAGGGTACATGCAACAGCCCATGGCTGGTATGATGCCACAAATGTGGCCAGGCGCAATGCCGCAGAATTGGCAGCCGCATATGCAGGGTGATCCCCGCGAGTTCGAAAATCCGAGCTCGCCGCACACCCCTACCTGGGGTGACGATGACGAGCTTGCCGAGACGGTGCCTCCTCCCCCTGGGGACTGGAATACCAGCAAGGGGAAGGGGCGGCACGGCCGTGGGCGACATCGGTGATACCTGAAGTCTGCCCATGCGTTTATTTTGCACGACTGCGCCAACGCGCGCATGCCTTTATTCCGGAGATCTTTCCGGAAGGGCTATGCTCCTTGCCATATTTTAATGATTTGGCTATTCGCCACTCCAGAATTCAACTGCATGCGCAGCTGTGCGCTAATCGCGCTGGCGGCGATTACCTGTCAGGTGCGCGTCGCCGCAGCAAGGCAGTTACCCTCGCCGGTGTCTACGGCCGCTGGTTGTCAGCATCGTCCAGCACCGCTGCTGCTGCTGGAGATGGAACTCATCAAGGTGCTGTGGTGAGGATCACGGATGTGCTGCACCGCTGCCGGTGAGGTCCTATTCGGACCTGAACCGCTGATTGCAGCTGGTGGTGCTCCTACTGAAGGTCCTTGTGTGATCGCGCGCCTAGACGGTGCTACTTTGAAGACCAAGGTCCTATGGTCGATGCACCATGTTTCAACCAGTAGGCCAATGCGCCTAAATCGTGAATTCAGGAACTAAATCCACTTGAACCTTGCGGTTCGTTGTGGTTGCATTGCAAATGTAATTTTATTTCATGCCTGCCATTCTGGAGTTGAATCTTTGTTTCTGTTTCTTTTTGCTTTCTCTTGTTTGATTTGGCTACCGGCGCGAATCCGCCCCATACCCGTAATTCGGGGTGGTGGCGGGATCCGGGCACCAATGAGTGCCCGGGTATGGGGTCGCGAACCCTGGTAGCCTAATCGGCTTTGTTGTTCTTGTTTATTGCTTTTCAACTTCAACATGGCCAATGCGCCCTTCCAAATTCACTCCTTCTCTTTGTACAGGCGAGGGGGGTGTTTTTGGGGGCATGTACTTTTATCATAGCGTATGTTATTTCCTGCCAATGTCCAACGCGACATTTGGCTCAAGCTTTTACCACGTCAAACTACGCCGCCATAGCGGCAGTGGCTGCTTACGGCGCCGCAACTCGTCCTGCCCCTGGAAAAGGACAGGCCGAGCTTCGCGGCGGTAGGCACGTCTTCTGGTTGTGGGTCGGTGTGTGTGTTTGGTGGTGTCCGCATTGGTTTGCTCTGCTTGCTCACTGTGCGCTGCATTGTTTGCCTGCTTGGTTTGCTGCTTTGTGCTTGCTTCGGTTGTCTCTGCCCTTGCTGGGTTTCTTTACCTTGTTACAACTGGCACCCTGTTTTGGTTCGTGTTTGGCCAGCCGAGGGCACCGCTTTGCCCTTGGGACTGGGGGACTTAAACAATCTCTTCTTGTTGGTGGGATTGGGCCTGTTTATTCTCTCCCGAAACTCTGTTTCAAACCCTTTCGCAATATATATTACTTATATTACACATACACTATATATATATATGTATGCATCAAAGCCTTTGTGTTTTATATTTTTCTTGCTTTTCAGGGATCGTTTGTTTCTGTTGCTTCTGTTGTGTTTTTTGTTTCCGCCGTGTGACGAGTGAGGTTTGGGCCGTATCGTCTTGGTGAAGCTTGGTTCACGGGATCTTGCAAGGCCTTTGCATCCCCATTTGAGCAGCGTTTTTAATCAAATGAAAGGGTTTATACAAAAAGGGAACTGCGTGTACTTTGCGGAGGCAATCCTGGTTGGGGGCGTAGGCTCGCGTAGGCTTCAGCGCGTAGGTTGTTGTGTCACCCCTCGCGTAGGCTTTTCGCGTAGGCGTTTGTTGAACAAATCATGACTCAGTGCTGTTTGCCAAGTATAAATGAATCTGCTTCTTTTGCCTTCCTTCTGTTTGTTCTGGAGTCTTCGCGTAGGCTCTGCGTAGGCCCCGCGCAGCCATTCGCGTAGGCTTTCAAGGCATTTTGGGTACGTAGACCTTTTCTGGCAGCCAGATCCTTGGACAGATGCGGGCTTCTCACTTGTACTGCAATTCTGATCTTAGAGCCGGAGCTGCCAAAACTGAAAAGTTGCGATTTTCCAGCTGGAGCTGCCACAGCGCACTTCGACACTCAAACTCAACATTTGCCCGCGTAGGCATTCGCTTAGGCACCTGGAAGCTGACTTGTGCTCGCGTAGGCACCCCTCGCAGGCCGCGTAGGTTGGCGTAGGCCTTCGCGTAGGCATGCAAGTAGTGTATAGGCCTCGAACCACCAAAAAAAACACTGCTCATTTGAGCCTGTGCCAGTGTTGCGAAAAACATGGTTTTGCCTAGTTGCATACCTCACATGAGCTTCATGTGAATGTGTGATTCTGTGTGTGCGCGCGTGTGTGTGTGTGGCATGACAAGCTCGCTTGGCATGCAGAGAGCGCATGCCGGAGCATGCTGAATTGTGTTTACCTCAGAGCCACTTGCAAAGTCTTGTGCTTGCGGAAGTGAATGCGGGTATGCGCCAAGTCCATTGAAGATGAGGTTTGCGACCGGTCAGCCAGATGATTAGGTGCCTAGACGCCTGCTTGGTGGCCCAGAATCAGCCCCAGTAAGGCTTCACAATCCAGTCTAGCTTGAACTTGAAGGAAGGACCATCAAGTGAATTCTCAGGTTGGAGGGCTTCCGATTTACTCTCAAGGACCAGGCGAAATCCCTAGCAATCCAAACCGATCCATGTTGAAATATGACCCCTCCAAACCCTCCCGGACAGTGCCCACAGTCATTTGGGGCCTCTTTAGTGGAAAAGGGGGGGGGGTTCTGGGCTCGCTTCCTGGACTTTAGTCACTTTTTGGGGTTGGACCATTTTAGTGGCATTTTTGTTCATAAACAAACAAATTGGGAACTCGTTTGGCCCATCCACGCCATCGGTGGCTTGGGCAAGCTCTCTGATGACGCCAGGCCTGTCGTGAGCCCTTTGACCTGAACTTGGCTGCCCCCCTCGAGGAGGCCAGAGCTGCGAACCAGCTGATGAAGGATCATCTTCTGGGTGGTTCTTGAGTTGTGCTGTGGAAGTTGCGTGTGTGTTGGTTTGTTGGTTTGTTGGTTTGGTTTGGTTTGTGTTTTTGTTTGTTTGTTTTGTGTTGTCTTGTCTTGTCTTGTCTTGTCATTGTTTGTTTGTTTGTTTGTTTTGTTTTGTTTTGTTTTGTTTTGTTTGTTATTTGTTTTTGTTGTCTTGTCTGTTTGTTTGTTTGTTTGTTTGTTTGTTTGTTTGTTTGTTTGTCTGTCTGTCTGTCTGTTTGTTGGTTGGTTGGTTGGTTGGTTGGTTGGTTGGTTTGGCTGTTTGGCTGTTTGGCTGTTCGCTTGAATCATACATATACGGATGTATATATAAGAACTGTCAAAAGAAAGGCAGGGGTTTGGGCAGCGGTGGGAGCAGATTGAAACGCGTCTTTACCATGCAGCTAGCATACTTTCTTCCAGAACCCCGCCCACAGTGGTCAACACTGGCGTACCTGCTGAACTGCTGAGCCTCCAAAATGCACAAGCTGAGACTCAGTTTGGGAATTGATGTTCAGGTAAGCAGTCGGCCACGGTGGTTCGTTTGTTGATCAGCACGTTGGGTGATTCGTTACACGCCAAGTCACCACAATTTGAGACATGTGGTTGTGCTTTATCTGGGGTTGTTTGGGCTCCCTCCCCCTCCCTTCCCCTCCCCCCCAAAAAAAAGCTCATGAATAGTTCCCCGCCAAGTCTCCCAAATTCAAGCCATTCCGCTTCCTCGAGGTGTCCCAGGGGTCTGCCAGCAAGATCTCCTACGACTTGGTCTTGGCAGCCTCCCGGCAAGCGGCCTTTCACTACCAGGCGCGGTCGGCGTGTCCCTGGCTGGAGAGACCTGGGTTTTTGTTTTGTTCAAAAAAACCTTGGCCAACGAGCTGATTTGTGGCCGCATTGACCACTCGATACGACACGTTTCGCTTCTGATTTACGTGTTGCTTTTCATGGGTCTAGTTTTTATTGTTTACTTTGCTTACTGGCTTTTGCGTTCACTGGGGGAAGTAAAACAACTATAAAACTGCCAGAAGTTGGACATGGTTTGCTTGTTCGACTGTGGTCACTCTGGCTGTACGAGATGGAACACCTTCGGTTTCGGAAGTCAGTATGGCTTCAGCTCACGGAATCGGGACTCGAAAGTGCGGCGCGTCGGCACGTGGGGAAGGCTCCGGTAGGGAAGGCCCGAACCCCCTCCCCGGGGTTTTGCCAGCCGCAGCCAAGGAAGGGCCACTATGAAAAGCGGACCGGGGTGGTTGTGAAGGGAAGGGACATCAGGTTAAGATACTGTAGACAAGTCAGCTATGCAAAAAACCCACTGTTCGGATTATAAGAGAGTTACCCATAGTCATACAACCATTCTGGGTCAGATGGGATTTCCGAAATCGTGGTACGCTTGAAGCCTGTGGAAACACTGGGCGGTCTGCAAGCTGAGAACCTTCTGAGATCCGGCTGGGAGTCCGATGGGTTCGAGCGGCGGGTTCGGCAGGTGGCGGTGCTGCCGCACTACAGGG